TATTTCAAGTGTTTACTTTGAATTTTAAAATTTTGAATTTATATTTTATTCTCTAATAATAACATAATTTGAAATTTTAAAAACGTAAAAATAAATAAAAAAAATTAAACGGAGCGACAAATAGGGCATGATCTCATCCCGCCCCGAACCCGCCCCACTGCCATCCGTATGAAAAATATAAAACGACGTTGAAAAGACATACAATACATATACATACATGCTTGCATACATATATATATCCATTCCATCCACAACAATAAAATTTAAAGAATGAGCTCCAATGGAGTGTGCGCGTGGAATCGACGTGCTCATATTATGGAGCTGTGCCTTTCACCTACTCAAATCAATCAACCCGTTGCATTTTTCCTCTGATGCTCCAATTTTTATCAAATCAAAGAATTGAAAGGCATTTACTTTTCAATCATTTCAGAAGCATTAGTGGATTGTCCCTTTAATGACTTTTATTTGCCATTTTACCATTGCACTGGACACACAGTAAGCAGACTCGCTGTTGTTTTCCCCTAAATTTATGCTTTTTCATCCGAGGGAATTTTTACGTTTTTGTCGGTGGAATTTAACAGAATTGCTTAAAATCACATCGTATTTCCAGTTTCAGGGCTTGTGTTTTATTTAATTCACTCCCCATTTTTCTTCAGCTTGCGCACTTTAATTTCGCTGTGCTTTGATTCCTCATTAATTCAAGTATATTTGTTTCAATTTATTCCTTTGAATTTGGAAAATGGAAATGGTGGATTGGTGATTTGATTCATGAACAATGCAGTTAGCTTGATGCCAGTGAATTCTACTGCAACAGCTTCAGTATATAGATGTATGTAACTTACTCTCTGCATATTCATGACTTGACTGGTGTCTAGTAGCCCATTTTTCTTAGTATTACTGTTTGCTGATTATTTCCTTTTGCCATTTCATTTTTTCATTTTTCTTGGTGATTTCATGTCTAATAACCATCTTTTGTTTTTTTCTTCCAAGTAATTCACAGAATAACAAGTTCAGATTGCTGTTAGAATTTCTGAATTGATATTGTTGAAGGCAATATATATTCTTCTACTCAAACATAAGCAGTTTATGAGTTAGTTAAAGCAAGCATAGAATTTAGTGAACTTATGCCTTGCAGCGAATGGAAAATATATTATGTACCGAATGCATTTTCTTCTCTGTGACTCTGATTATCCAAACGGCAGTCGTTTTCCCTTATATGCATATGCTGTCTTAACGAGTATCTGTATTCCAGTAAAGGGGCTGTGATCGCATTCAAAGAAAGTGTATCGGGAAATACTCGTAAACACCTAATATTTCCTTGAAGTGATAGCTCTGAAATGTTTTCAGGGATAGACGTAGTCAAGTTGAGATAAATTTTATCTTTTCTGCGAAATAAATTCATCAGATTATAAATAAAATACCAATTTTTTTTCCCTTGTATATGGAGAAAGGACTTCAACGCCCTGTAAGAAGACATTCATTTTACTTATGCTCGGCCTTTTACTGGATTTTTTTTATAAATACTCGACGGAAGCAGTAATGGTTCTTAATAACTTCAGCTTTTCCATCTCTTTGGTAAACACAGTAATTCATGGACCAGAAGACGTGGCTTTGGAGGAAAAGATCTTCGGAAAAGACAATTGTTGCACATGGAAAAACTCATATTGCAAATGAAAGTGACAGAGATGAGGTAATTGAAGTTGATCACTTTCTTTCTCTTGATCAAACCTATCAATGTCAAGCATATTCCGGCATTTGGTTCAATTAGAGTTACCTACTCAAATGCCAAAATTTAACGCTTCAACTGAGTCGAATCTCAGCATGGATGTCTCTTTGGCTAGAGTACTTATAACATTGATTAGGACTCCGCTTGACTGCTTGTATAATTTATACAGGTACAGTCACTAGCCAGTGAAAAAGAAGTGGCTCTCGAGAATTCTATAAAACTTCTAAACGAGAAGCTGGCCTCTGTTGTCGATGATTGTGCTGTTAAAGATGAACTTGTAGCAAAACATGTCAAAATGACACAAGAAGCCATTTCAGGTTATGATAAACGCGAACATTCTTAGAATTTTACAATTGTAGTATCATTTTGGTTCGTCAAATTGATACTTTAATACTACTTCAGGTAAGGAAGAAGCAGAGGAAGGAGTAAGGAGCCTGAAAAAAGAAGTCGACGAAGCTTTGCAGCAGAGAATGGTTGCGAACGAAAGGTTAGGTCACCTAAATTCTGCATTGAAGGACTGCATGGAGCAATTAAATTTAGTCAGGGAGGAACAAGAGCAAAGAGTGCATGATGCTGTGATGAAAACATCGAAGGAATTGGAAAAGGATCATAAAATTTTGGAGGAAAAACTAACAGAAACAAGTAAAAAGCTTGCAGACTTGACTGTTGAGCATTCATATCTTAGCAAGACCCTACTAGTAAAAGAAAAATTGATCGAAGAGATAAATAAATGCAAATCTCAAACAGAGGCAGAATTTAATGCACTAATGACAAGATTAGACTCCACAGAAAAGGAAAATGCTTTTCTAAGGTATGAGTTTCGGATGCTTGAGAAAGAACTTCACCTCCGAAATGAGGAGCTAGAATATGGTCGTCGATCTGCAGAAGCTGCACATAAACAACACTTGGAGAATATAAGGAAAATAAAGAAATTGGAAGCAGAGTGCCACAGATTACGAGCCATAATGCGCAGGAAGCTGCCGGATCCTGCTGTCTTGTCAAATATGAAGAATGAAATAGAAATGAAGGGAAGAAACCTGGTGGAGAAGGGGAGGAGAAAATTGAATTTGAATAGAGGAGGTTTAGTTGTGAAAGACTCGGGGGCAGAATATAGTCCAAACATCCCAAGTATAAAGCTAAATGACTTAATGGAGCGTTTGCATGATTTGGCAAAAGAAAATAATATTCTCAAAGAGGTTCTAGCAAAGAAGGAGGATGATTTTGCATTAATTTCAGAAGTGGGGTACGTCAAACATAGGGAAACTCAAACTGCAACTGAGTGCAAAACGATTGGAGCTCATGAAATCAGCCTAATGGACGATTTTGTTGAAATGGAGAAATTAGCAATAGTTTCAATCGATGCCCCAGTGGCGAGTTCTTTTGCTTCTTCTGAAGCGAGTTACACACTATCAGATTCCATAGAGGATATGTGTCAGAATAATGTGATTTCAACAACCGGGGAACTTGTTCCAGTGGATCAAAATGAGTTCAGTGATTTAGACCACAAACTTCAAACAAGAAACCCATCCTTTAGAAATCCCAGCAACTGGCTTCAGAAAGTTGTGAAAGTAATCTCAGAAGAAACCCATGTTTCAGGAAGAGGTCTGAATGAACTTTTTGAAGACATTAGAATGGCTATGCACAGCATGAATCACCAGTCAAGCCCCATTAATGCTGAACGGTCTAAATTGCTTCCTGTTAGTGGCTACCTCACTTGGAAATCTGCCACATCGCCAAGAACAGATTCAGAACAAGAAACCATGGGAACCTTGGTGGAAGAAACGACCTCTGAATTTAACCAATCTGATCTCAACAGATCTATGCGGGAAATTATGGAGCTAATTTCGCTGTTTCATCCACCATGTGCAGATGACTCTAATATGCCTTGCAACTTGTTGGTCACAGATTGCAATGCTTTAACATGCAAGCGGTCTTCAACAGCAGCTGACTACATTATTCACGTTTTCCGATGGAAGAGTTATGAACTTAATGCTGTTCTACGGCAATTCTTTTGTGCATGTAGTTATTTATTGGATGGGAAGAATGATTTTGAGAAGTTCATCACGACATTGACTTCTACTCTGGGATGGATCAGCCAAAACTGTATACCTTTTCACGATAATTTTACTATCAGAGATGAATTCAAGAGGCACCTAGGTGGGGATGGACCAGGAACTGCCCTGGCACTTGAATCTGTGCAAAATCTTATGCTTGAAATGGAGAAGATCCATTCTATTCTCCAAGTAGAAAATAAAGGATTGATAAATGAGTTGGATTTCATGAAATCCTCGGTAAAGGATATGGAGGTCAGACTGCAGTCGGAGAGGGAGATGAATGGAAACTTGACGCGTGAACTTGAGCAATCAAAACAAAGCATTGTAAATCTACAAACTGAGTTGGAAGCTTTGCAAGAATCAAAAAGAATAATTGAGGATCAGATTGAGAATCAGAAACTGATAAATGAAGATCTTGATACCCAACTCACTGTTGCCAAAGGTAAAATAAATGTAGTTCTCCAGAAATTATCTTCTGTTGAAGTAGAATTGGATGATAAAAGCCATTGCTGTGAAGAACTGGAGGCGACTTGCCTTGAGCTTCAACTGCAACTTGAAAGGTACAATCTGTTTTCCTAACTTCATATTCAACTTTAATTCATCTTCCATTTGTAAATCAATGATTTTTATTGATTTTTCGGGATATGTGCCTGCAGCATTACCTGCAAGCAGTATCCACGCAACACCGAAAATCGAGAAGAGAATCTGCACGAATCTGTAAGTCCTGCTCAGAATTGAAGGAGC